TCCTTATCTGAAGCATTGTCATGTTGACTATTATTGTCGGGTGCAAGTACTTCGGCTACAGTGCGGTTAAACGCATCAGCAGCGGCAGAGATTGCTTCTGCGGCAGCAGTAGTTGCGGCAGCGCTAGCGGCTTCTCTCTCCATCTTCTTCTTTTCAGTTCTACGCTTCTTAGAAAGAGTATTGTCTTTCTTGGTCATAATCTTAACTTATGACTACTAGCTTGGACAAGAAAAAAATTGTGGTAGTTAATCTACCTTTACGCTTAAGTAGTCTAAGTAATTAATACCTTTACTAACTTTAAAATGTGTAAGATTCGGTCTATTAAGGCGATATTAACGCATTAGAGTAAATAAACGCGTAGGTAAATTCTAAGTATCGTGAAAATATCAAAGTAAATAAACGAAAAGAGACTTTTAGTAAAGTTAGGTATGCCTCGTGAAAACCGCAATTCTCTGAGGGATTGTGAGGCTTATATAATCCTCTCAGTACTGTTTCCGCCGAAGGGATTTTATTTAGTGTTTCGTTGTCGCTCTATTAGAAACTGTGGTATGGTTCATTGGGGCGAATCCAAGAGACTCAAAATCCTATCTTTAGAAAAAAAAATAGAAAAAATACTCTTGATGTCCTAAGTTATTGTCTTAACCAATAACTTGCCACTTATCAAGAATTACCGACTTAGCCTTCATCAGACTGGCACATCTGATTGGCTGATCAGAGGATCAACTAGGTAACGTTAATAGTCCCTAGAAACCTATATTCGGTTGAGCCACCTCGCTACCGAAGTATTCAGATATAAATAAAGTTGAAAAGTAAATATAGTTCTATTAATAGAGCTACACCAACTCTTATGTTTGGTATTTTACTGAGGCCTTTTGATGGCCTCGTCCAAATATCTGATATGTAAAATGGAAAAGGTATTAATCAATAAAACCATTAAAACCATTTCGGAAACTCAAGTTCCTCGTACTATTAAGAGTACGTTTATAACATAGAGTCTAATGTGGAGGCCCGGCTATTACACTTTGTCATTAATATTTGGTTCTTTCTCGGTCAACCATGATTCCTTTATTTTACTTGAGATGTTCTTTATTCAGTATTCTTGCCTATACTGTTTGCCCGTTCTACCTCGACATACCAGCGGTCACGCAAGTTCCAGTCACGGCCAAGAAATACAAGAAATATTAGTTATAGATGCCAGCCTTGATCGGACTGGACCAACGTAAGAATTGTCGCGCATGAACTGGAGTCAGAAGGTCCACGCAGCTATGACACGCATGTTTTTTAACGACACGTTGTGTGATTCGGTTGGACGCAACCTCCCACATGAAGCCAGTTGTGCGTGTTTTACGTACACTTTTGAGCATATCTTAGCGCATAAAAGCTACGATTTTCTGTGCATACATTTTTACGGAGTTTTTGCTTGAAGTGGAAGTGGCAGATCAAGCATCAGATATCGTCAATCAAATCGTCTTTTAACAAAACATCCGGAGTATGTCAACTGCTTCGCGTGTAGCAAACCCAGCAATGAAACAGCAAATTGCCCTAAAACAAAAAGAAGGCAGCTGCTGCAGCCATCACCAAGACTAAGCCCCAGTTCTGAATGGGGCGGTGGTCCAAGGGTATGCATAATATAGTGAGGTGAATGTCTACATAGACATTGATTCATCATAAAAAAATGTTTCTCTGACGCTATATACCCTGAATCATCCATCCACGGCTTACATGACATGGGGGTCATCAGCACCACTCAGCAAATTGAGCTTGCGGCAATGTACTCGCTGTGGACAGGTGGTTGGTGACTGAGGACCTTCCTTACGGGTCTCAACTCCTAATAGAATATCAGCGCAGCAGAAATGAATAATATTATCCCTTAGATGGGCTGCGGTATTTGACATGGATCATGCGCTATATATGATCCTTGGATTAGACTCATGGCGCAGGTGTGAATGTGGCGTGCACCGCCGCCATTGTGCGCTTCGAGTCTTTAACACTGCGTGGCACACACACGATTAAAGCAACGTAAATCGAATGCGGCGCCCCTCAAGGAGGTCGCCGACGAGGATTCCAGCAATTACAGTCTTTACTCACGTGGTGTGGTGTTGCGGTTGCAAAACGTGCATGAATTGAAACCCTCTGCTACGAAATACCACGGTTTTTCTCGGAGAAGTCAACTCACCGTTTGTCACTAAGAGTACCAAGGAGGTTGAAGCGAGTCGATCATCAGTCGCTGCTGCTCTACAAACTCGGTATTATGATAGTGACGCCCGTAATTACGAGTCGCGGTTGACCGATGAGGGCCACGGTGTGTTCATACCGCGATACCCTGGCATTCTCCACAATGTCGACGTGCCTCCTTCATGGGAGGAAAGCTACGCCGCGGATCAGATTTACATTATAAATATAATGCCGACGAAGAGGATGGCGTGTACGGCGCCAAAGGGTTCAAGTACTTAGGTGCCGAGGCCAGTAAGACTAATGCTGAAATAGACGAGGCGATTGGACTGCTTAATTTGGTAGCCTACGACCCTGCAAAAAATAATATTCGCGACGTTTGACGCCATCCTTCTCGAGTTGTATGACAACACTCAACCAAAGCGTTGCAACCACCGTCGGTATGTTGACACGTCGACACCTGAGGTGCTGGTTGCGCACACTAAGATTATACTACTCCTCGATCGGGGTATCCTCCGTTGGGAAACCAATTCCAGCAACAAGTAGCAAGCCAGCATTAAGATGGTCTGGAAGAAGCCTGGCAGAGAGCCAAGGCCTCACTTCCGGAGGGACTTGACGACTGGCGATTCTGCACGAATTTTAGTAAATGAAAGGAGTTGGTTGTCTCCGAGCCATATCCCATTCCTACCGTAACTGGCATGTACGACTTTGTCGTAGGAATACCCTGAATCTCCGTTCTTGACTGTGGCAATGGTTGTAGAGTATGGAGAGTAGCTGAAAGGTACAAGTCAAAGGATACAATAGACCTCTTCTCAAGCACAGTGTTGCCCTCCCTGCATATTATTTGTATGGTCTGCCATAAGATGCTGTCATCTTGCTAGTTCACCTTGATAGCGGACCATGACAATGTCCCCTTCCTGGAAGTGTACATACTACATTTGGTATTTTTGGTAGTATGCTGCGCGCATCTTCTCTTGATTTTGCGCAGCATTACTGTCTAGTTATGGCCTAATGGCTTCTTCTAGATGCTGCAGTCGCTCTTTCCAAGATACTGTTGTACTGGGTGCGTTCACTGGTGTGGTGTACTTCGTGAGTTGACTCTGTCTGCGACCAAAGTACGCATTAAATCTCGGTGGCTTGTGTCTTTTTTATGTACGCAGATTGTGGTCCATTGGTACGAAGGAAAGTTGTGAACACCAGTTACCTGGGAAGTTTTCAACGAATTTGCGTAGCAGTGGTATGACTAACCCATGTATTCGTTCGCGCCAAAACCGAAACCCTAACCCTAAAAACCGAGAGACTAGGTATTGTGTCGGCGCTTGTTCAACGACTTTTGAAAGTATGTCATTAACATATTTCCGTGCCTTGATCAGTCTGTATGATGTGTGGGAACCCTTGCTCGTACATGGTTGGTACCAGCGTACGTGCTACAGTAGCCAATTTGTCCATCATTGGTCGGAGAATGACATATGATGAGTGCACAGCTAGCCATACTAACACATATGCGTGTCCTCTGTTTGAGTCCAGTAGTGGCCCAATTAAGTCCACTTGGACTCTGTCGCCTGGAAATGCGGCTGTGATTGATTGTAAAGGATGGAATCCCCTCCTATATATCTTATTTTGAGACATGGCATGCAACCTTCAGTGTACTTGTGTACATGTTGTTAAGTTTGTGGCCAGTCGTGTACACCTGCTTGCAACTTATTTGCTGTTTCCTCAGGAGTGTAATGTCGCAAGTTGTGGTATTGCTCGATGATGTTGACATATGTCTCATATTCTGTTTCATGCGTTTTAGCTCCAGAGTGAACAGTTTGTGATGCTGAACCGTGTATGGCAGGTTGTTCCCGCTTTGAATCAAAACATGAAGACTTCACTCCTATTTTTGCTACTAGTGTAACGCCCCACGGGGTCTTGCCACATGCTGTCGTGCCTTCTTGTATTGTGGAACGTATTGCGAGCATTGGGTCTACTTCTAGTAAAGACAAGTTCGCCGATGGAGCACAGTATAATCTTCCACCATCAGCATTTGATGATCCGGTTTGGAAGTATGGTACAAATATCGTGATGCTGATTGCCTCTTTAATGACTTTGTCAAAAGCCTCCGGTATGAGTTCCCATGGAGGGTTCGCCCATGCATTTGCTTCCTGCGCCCATTCCTGTAGGAGCGCATTCTGATTATTTTTCAATAGTATTTGTCTGTGTGTGCATTGTGTGCTGATGCAAGCAGATCTACTTTAAATTTACCAAACCGGTTTTCAGCTTCTTGTAGAATCTGGGGTGTAACATCCGGTCTATCGCTGATATGGTTATGGGCAGGTTAGTTTCCAAGGTGGTGTACTCTTGGCTGTTGTGTGTTGGTTTGTTCGCGTCTTGTAATATCTCTAACTTTTTAGTGTTAAATGTGTCTTTGTGTAGACGCGACAACATATCGACCACCTGGGTGTCCTTGCCTGGGACATGTATGATTTATTGGGTGTAACGACCTGGGTGTCCTTGCCTGGGACATGTATGATTTATTGGGTGTAAAGTCTGTTGGCTGTTCATTTGCGTAAGCGCTTTATGATCTGACCAAAGGGTTATGTCCCCTCCTTTGATGTATTCGGAGAATGTTCCAGGCTGTATACCAGTGCTAGTAGCTCTTTAGTCTTGTGCCATAGCGTTATTGTGCTGGATTCAAGCTTTTGGAAAGTAGAGGATATCTCTCCTGACTCCATCGATGACATGAAATGAACACCCTCCTATGCCATAGTCACTAGCATCGTTCATGATTTTCTAACGGTACCCCGTCAACATGGTATGCTAGCGTCGCCAAACACGCGATGGCTTCTTTGAGTTCTTCCCACTTCTTTTTGAGTTCCAGTTTCCATACCATGGATATGTTCTGGTTCATTTTCCCTTTCATTAGGTTCCGAAAGTGTTTAGTTGTGTGGGCAAAGTTGAGGACATGGCCGTGCTTATAGTTTATGAGTCCACTGCTGTGTGCAGATCACGTTTCGTTCGGGGTAGTGGCCAGTCCATCATTCTTTTCCGGGTTTTTAGGATCCGCTTTGAGACCCGGTGTGGTGACTTTCACACCTAGAATGTTGACCACTTTGACCGCGAAGGCACACTGTTGTGATTGAATCGGGAGTTTGCTCCATTCAAACGTTTGATTACTTCACGAACTGTCTTGCGGTGTTCTTCTTCTGTGACACTTGCAATGACTATGTCATCTACATACACTTGCACTCCTTTGATATCTATGAACAAGTTTGCCATGGCTCTCTGGAACTGTGCTGTGAGTAGGTGTAGACCAAACGGCGCTGACCTGGATGAGTATTGCGCTCCTCTCCACGAGAACGGGTTTTTTGGACTAAGAAGTGGTGAAACCCCGTGCGATCTAACTTGGAGAAGAATTGTGCTCCTTGTAGGTTGTGCAGTACTTCCTTTATTGTTGGTATGTGAAAGTCGGGGACTAACCAGGTAAACTGTACGACACCAATAAGTTAACGTGGAAGAAAGTACGGTTTAAGAGTAAATCTGCAAAAAAAAAATTGAAATTTCAGTTTAGCTTCAGTCTTCGGCAATGAGCTAAAAATTAAGGTATTTAAGACTGAGACTATTGTCTATATAGTTCCGCTCTAATCACTCACTACTTCGGACTAGATTTATTTGGTGTCAGTAGCTAAGGTCAGATTTCATATCATTGGATACGTGATATATCATTCCCTTGTTAATCCATGCCTCGAAACAGTCTCCAATCGTAATTACTAATAAAATAACTCTTAAGTCCACCTCACGAAAATAAAAATAAATTAAAACACCATGTTGGTGCAGTCATGTCTGCACCTATAACCCATCACATGGTACCTAGCTCTCCATCCCAATGAAGTTTTTAGGGGGGATCATTTTCATGCCCCATTCTCAGTAGGATATCTCGCGCTGAGAGTATTCGGAAATATAACATGTGTCATCAAGTGTCAATTTCACCTGAGACTCTCCAAATATTATTTCCCAATATTCTGGTGGAAACATTTCGTTATGGAAACCACCATATCAAAATCAACAGAGTCTCCGACCTCAATTGTATACAGGTATTTTTCCAAATATCTAATAATAGAATATTTGGTTATTTGTATATATAAATATATAA